AGGTAAGATGGAGTGAGTACTGTGGAAGTGATGGAATATGATATACAGATGAGTCATGTTGGTTTGAAGTCAAAAGTCAACTGCCGATAAATGGAATTTTTTTGTGGTATGAGTATACTTTGCCCAGGGTGCACCACGTGGAGGTAAGTCTATCGCACACCCATCTTAAAAATATCAAATTGCATGACCACCAATTATAGTCGACTATTCACAGAACTAAAGAAATGCCTTATTACAAATGCTTCAAATGCGGAAGACTTTTGGTTGTGTCATCCAGCTGACGCTTCTATAACTGACTAGTGAGCTTGTGATTTTTATGTTATTTGGCATAAGCCTAGATTTGCTGGAATTTCCTTCTTTGATCAAATTTTAACTAAACACCCCTTAATATCCAAATTCGGGAGTGTCTCAGATGATTGCAAACACACAATCTATAGTTTTGTTTAGGGCACTTTGATGGGAGCATTTTTAACCCTATTTGAAGACAGGTAATAATGAAAGATGAAGTGCTAGCGCTTGAAGTATTTCATCAATTCGATTTCAATGTCAATACAGTGAGCATTATTGGGTTAAATTAATGTGAATCATAACTCTATCAACTTAAAAATCCGCAATTTTAGAAATCCAATGGCTCGACTTTGTGAAATATCGCTTAAACATAAGGCTTTCTCGGTTGCAAATAAGTTATTTATATCAAATGGCAGGCGTCTTGATGGTTATCATTAGCCCTTTAGTTGACTTCAGACTTCACAGAGGAGAAGGAACATCAAATTGAAAAAAGTCGAGAGGGGGGCGGGAACAGAGACAAACACAAAGGTAGAAAAAAGGTGAGGTGAATATTGTGGAAATAGTCGAAAATGGCACAGAGTGAGATGGTGGTAGTTTGAAGTGGGTAGTCAACTGCCAGTTAATAGACTTTTTTGCCGTATGAATATACGTTGCCCCGGGTGCACCACGTTAGTGTTATTTAGTATATTAGTGACTATTTTAATATATTGCAAAAGTCTCAAAATTTTCATTTAACCACATTTTTTAATCTAAATGTTATTTTAACTTGATTTCAGTTGCCTTCAATGGCACATATTAAAAATAGATTTGACATATTTTCGAAGTAAACAATCATGCCTTTTCTTTTACTAAGCTAACTAAAAATTGCAATTTTTCAGAATATATTCTGAATGGCATTTTACAATAAGCGATAGAAAAACTGTTTGCTGAGGTACGGTAATGTCTGAGTCTTGAAAGGTCATTTAAAATTGTGGAAAATGTTTTCTTTATAAATGGAACACGAGCTTGATATGCTAAGTTCCTAAATGGCTTATTTTTCCTCAAAAGTCGAGGTTTTTTCAACTTCTCTATTTTTGTTATAGTGATAACCTATTTCCTGCCTACGGATTCGGTGCTCGAATTCGTCCGGACAATTTAGTCTCACACAACTTTCCTCTGGTAAGTTCAAGGAACACTATCAACTCATTCGAAATAATCTCTTAATGCAAAGTCCATTTTCAATGGACATAGATATGCGAAAACCATGAAGTGATCAGATTTCTGCTAATGAACTTGGTGAAATAGTTCTCTATGTCTATTAAAAACGTGTATTTAACCATTCGATTGCACGAATTTTCAACTTTCAAAATGTTTACTTCCTTCTCCAAACTCCCAGAGTTCTGGGCAACATGTGTTTATAAGCCATTGCTTGGCTGATATGTGTGAGTTTTAATAATGCTCCTTGAAACTTTGATCCGGGTGAAACTTTGCAGTGACTTTATGGAATTCTATACAGTTTATAAGTATCAAAAGTTGCCAAAGTGTTCGACAACTGTTTATCAAAACCCTTTTATAATGCCCTTATGGAATCGTACGGTCCTCTTTCAAAGTAAGTTCCATTTACGCACGATATTGTCATTCGAGACATGTTAAATTCGTGTCTATAGCCTGCGTCTAATACCATCAAAACTCATCACGTCGGCGGCATCCATGTGTTCTGTGACATGCATGAGTGTGCAGTTTGGTGCACTTATCAAAGACAAATAATTCGGGTCTTATATGGGCTATAATAAGATATTAGGGAATATTTACTGAAACTAGGTTCTTTCAATCATCATGCTATTTTTCTCATTCTCGCTGTTTCCGCCTAAAGACAAATTTTTGGCATTTCTGTTAGGCTTATAAAGGATTCTTCTCCTTCTGGAATTAACTGAAATGAAAAATTAAACACGAAAATTATTAAAATGTGATTTCTGTCGGAAAACATTTTCCTTTTTTTCTATTTTTTGTATGTCAATTTCAATTAATTTCAGTTTCATGACAAATGTCCTATTAATTGTTTTTCATCACACCAGTTATTCTTCTACATGAAAAAATATATTAATTCATTGGTGAATGAAATATTATTTATAATATTTCAAAACAGAATTAGATTATTATGACCAATGGCATGGCGTTTTTCCCAATCTTTTATATGAAAGCGCATCTGGAAGCGTCTAGTTATGGGTTCCGCTAAAGGCTTAAGGGAACCAGTTTGAATCTGAGAAAAACAAAACAGAAAGCCAAAATAGTCTTTCGTAATTGGAAGTTTGAAACTAGATTGTGCAGTGTTAGTCTTAACGTTGGGTGGGGGGGGGGTTCATTTCCTATTTTGCCGAAGATCAAATTTCTAAACTTTTTAATTGGTCATCGATATCGATTTACTGTTTGGAAGGGTAACTTAAAGTGTTTTGATGCGCTCTATTCTCTTAGGTTTAAGTTACAGAATGATATATTTAAGCAACAGAGCTCACATAACTTCGCCTAATAGGAACTTTATTAATAATAATAGTTAGTGAAATGTGGGTGATATAGTCCGAAGAACGAAACTCTATTAGATTTTGAATTCTTCTACCTATTTTTAATCGCTGGCCTCTGGAATTTAATTATCCATGCTAAAGCACATTGTAACCACAAGACTCTAATCTCTCCCTCAGTGATATCTGAAGTGCTTAATCATAAGGGGAACTCACTGTTTTTCTGTTTAGGATCACCCGGCTTCAAGGGGGTTTGTTTTAATGATAAAGATAAGCCATTTAAGTGAGAATTGCTCGAACGTCTCAACTTCTTCTTCGATTGTCTCAATGCCTTTTACAGTGAAATTAAATAAAATCGCCTTTCTCCACCGATAACCGCAAAAGCGCCTTGAAGTAAGCTCGTCAGTTATCAACTGGAGCAGTTCACATTCCATTTTGTGTTTCCTTCCCGTTAAATTCTCTTTCCTACGCACTCATATTTTAAATGCTGTTTCCAAATGGCTCATTTTACTAAGAATACCCCCCTCGCCTTTGCAGCATTAAGGCAACGTCTAATTAATCCTCTAAGTAAACGAGTGAAAGAATGAAAGCCAATGTGAATTAAAAGCTATTTTATTGCGCCATATAGGTCTATGTTTCAGTTTACAAAAAAGCCATCTTTTTCACTTTGGCTAGAAAATGATGTCCAGTGAAATAACTATGTTAAAATAAATTTAGAATTATTTATTAAACCAACATTTTCAAAGAAATCATGTAATTCACCATTTTTTAACTGTGTTTCCGCTACCGAAATTTTCCCATTTCTGATAAAAAGTGCGTTAAATTTCCTTTTACATTGGTTGAAAATTATTTCCCAAACTTTTCATATATAATGGTGATTTATTAATAAAGTGTATAAGAAGGTAACCTTAAACCATCATTTTGTTATAATTTCTTTCACAAAGTAGTAAACAGAATGAAAAATTGTAGTTTACGCAAATTCTACAATTTCTACTCCACATAAAAGATTGTTTTTGGGCAAATAAACGTCACGTTACGAAATTTCAAAGCGTTGTTTTTTTTTTGTTGAAATCTAACAGATTCAAACATTTTTTTTATTTTTTTGTTATTTTGGTTGAGCATATCTTTGGGGTCACTTTTAAATTTTTTTAAAGAAAATATGATATAAATTTTTATTAAAGTTAATTGAAGTATAGATGCTTAAAGGTCATATGAAGAAAATTTCTGGAGATTACACGATTTGAAAACCTAATTACAAGCCAACAATTTCTCATCTTTTATGGAATCACTGCAAAATTTGTAGGTTCGATGTGTGTCTGATTGTCTTTGTGTCAAAGTGAATCTGTGCGCTTACAATTTCTTATCATTGCTCTGACTGTAGAGGAGTTAGCGTCGGAATCTTGTGGTGTGCCATTAACCAGAAACTTCTTCAAACACTAAGACATTTAATAAGGCGCAGAGTACCATTTTTAAAATTTCTATTTAAAAGCTATTTGAATTAATTTTATTGATCATAGTTAAACTGAATGGCAGGCATCTTATTAGTTATCATTAGCCCTTTAGTTGACTTCAGGATTTACAGAGGGGAAGGAACCTCAAGGTGAAAAAAGTGGGAAGAGGGTAGGGGGGAACAGAAGAGTGATTCATAGCTATAAACGTGACAAACAGACACGAAGGTAGAAAAAAGGTTAGGTGAGTACTGTGAAAGTAGTTAAATATGACATACAGTGGGGTGATGGTAGTTCGAAGTCAGAAGTCAACTGCCAGTTAATAGACTTTTTCGCCGTATGAGTATACAGTGCCCAGGGTGCACCACGTGGAGATAAGTCTATCGAACACCCCATTTTAGTAATCATATATTCCACTAAATAGCACTCTTAAATCGATATTTAAAAAGGAGCGTTCAAGAAGCAAGGTTAGGTTAAATTATTCGTCAAAACATCCTAATATTATTCTTTTTAGTCAATCAAACTCTATTCAATAAATTTTTAGTCAATATCTAAACAAAGAAACATCATTATTTGAAAATGTTTCCATAGGCTGGGCTCAAAATATGACAAATCATTTTTACATTTTTAATTAATTATATTTATTTGTTGGGTGAATTATTACATGAATATTCATATGGCTTGCTTTTCTTTTCTATTAACATCCTAAAAACTGCAGACAATGATAATATATATATAATAGGCATCATAATGCATTGTAGAACGGCCATCCGGAGAACCCCTTCTGCCAGGGTATCGCTGGTGTCATGGAGGCCTACCGTTATGCCCTTCAAACAGTCACTCTCCACGGACCAACCAACTTCGCGCCAATCATCACTCAAGTCGCAAAGTGAGTGATGGATTAAAGGATGAAATTTCCCATTTTTCAAACCTTCGAACTCAATCTTCATATTGACAAAAAAACACAATTGATTCCAAAGATTGCAGTTAGGTTTGGGCGGAGAGGGGAGTAAGGGGGGGGAGAGTTAATTTACGACATTATTTTCGTTAATTTCTTAATCGATATACACCGCGGTTGACAGTGTGGAGATAAAATATTTGTTTTAAAATGTTAATGGAGCATGAAAGAGGATATGGAATTATGAATAGGTAGCGTGACGAAAGCTTTCACCATCACAAACGACTGAAGATGTTCACCAGAATTTGTTTACATTTCTAGTTAAAACTATTATTAGGTTTTTACATCTTGCAAAATTAATGTGGCTTCTCGTCCTTCTTCAACGTAGAGAAATTTTTTATCCTCCAATTAATTTTAATTACGGTTTTTCATTTTTAATAGATGACCCACATTTCAACGTTGTTACTATTTCACTGCTGTTTCAATGCACATTCGTTATACGCTAAGCAAGTTAAAATTTTGGTGATCATTGACGCTTTCATGTATCTATCACTTGCCAGCGTAGCTTGGAATAGATTAATCGACTTTCAGAAGAAACGACAGATTTTCTAAAATTCCACCACTAATGAGCACAAATTGAGGAGGAATAAAATTGATTTTATTATTTTGTTCAGATACGAGCGAAGTAGCCATTAATTCCATCGAACTTGTTCAAAACGAGCGACATCTTCTCGAATGTGATGAATTGAACTCATTGACCAAGGTAGATTGGTCCTATTTCACAGATGTCCTCTAAATTTAAAATGCTAAACAAACATGATTAGTATCATCTGCATTATTGTAATTTTTAATTGCATCAAATGTATATAACAAGTGCGAGACAATGAGAAATTCACTGAATTGGTCTGACTTGCTCAATTTATTTTTTCATTGTATTTACATTGTGCGATGTCTATGGCGCGAGCAGCTTTAATTACAGAATTTAAATTTCATGACTCACCTAATTGGAATGAACATTCGTCATCATCGGCCACTTCTTACTTCATGAAAATCCTAGATGTCAATTCAACTTAATTCACGTAACAACATAAAGAAAAAAAACAAGTATTTTATGTTTCTTATCTAATAACTTGTCGAAAAACGATATATTCATGTATTGCCTTCTTTAAAAAAACGGAAATATTGTAGTACTATTTTGCGGAAGTGGGTGGGGGGAGGGGGTGGGTTGAGGGACGGCGTGAGGTTATTGAAAATATATAAAAAGTATTTTTTTTCAGAATATATTCTTACAATGTAATGTTAGAACAGAATCTTTCAGTAATTTCCTGACTTATTAATGACGTGGTGAAAAGCTTCGAGATGAATTATTTAGGTAAACATGTCTTAGATCAGATCAATTTCATTATCATCAATGTAATATTAAAGCAATTGTACCAATTTCTTTTATCAATAACTATGCCAATTGGATTGAGCCAGCTGTAGAGACCAAGGCGACGAAAGTTTACAAATATTTTTTTATGCATAATTATTAATATATTGTTATTCAATTTTTAGTGATTTATGAATATGCAGTCAGCAATAAAGGACTTAGTTAGTAATTTCACATTTGTATTTGTCCATAGTTTCTTACTAAATGATGTATCTATTAATTATTTAATGTAATTATGAAAATGATTTCATGCAAACTTTTTTAATCACTAAATTACAATAGTAGCATTGAAAAATAATAATAGGGATATGTCACAAACAAGCCTTTGCTTAACCTTAACAATCCTTCCTGCCGAAATCCTCTAGCATCATATCGCTCCTGAAATTAGCTGGGCTACGCCAGTAGTAATGAGGTTCAATAGCTTATGCAGGCTTGAACTTCTTTCCAGTATGGCGAACTGAGACAAAGCTTAGTTAATGACCAAGATCAGAATCCCACTACTTTGAAATGACTATTGATTTCTGATTTGCGGAGAGGTCTCTACACTCACAATAGCACTTGCTCAATACACAATTAATAGCACGTTCGCATTATCCAGAAGGCTTAAGCGCGCGTTGAACATTTCTCTCCAAGTCTTGGTAGCGTTGGATACTCTGGATGCCAACACAATGGGAGGGTTCGGGTGTTGAATAATAATTACCTGATTTTATTTCAGTTTGGCTCAACAAACAGACGATGGCTCCCAATACTACATCCTTCTTATTCTCACTGATGGTATCATCTGTGATATGCCTCAAACCAAAGCAGCTGTTGTAAATGTAAGTGCTCTAAATTTTTCGATTTGAAAACCTAACTAATTTATGTCTGGTGTGAGTTATTATTTGTAGGTTTTTATTTTTTTGATTGTGACATTTGACTAGGTGTAATATTGTTTATTTATGCTCACTATTCAAAGTGAGAAATGCAAAAGTAAGAAGAAATTACAGTTGTTTATTGTAAATAAATTAAATCCACTCGGTTATTTGTTCTGAGATTTTAACTTTGAATGGAAATTTGTGATGCAAGGATCAATCTTTGCTCGATTTACCATTTCAGGTGATCATATTTATGACGCATTAATTGACAAATTTAAAGTAACCTAACCCAATTTTGTTTTTTTTAATGATGAAATGTTTCAACTTAGCATAAGCCATATAATTTGACTATTAAAACCGAAAAATTATATGAAATAAAAATTATTCACACAAATTGGGTAGATTTGTTGAACCATGACTTCGACATTTGCGTAGTTATGAACCAGATCATGCTTGGTTAGACATTCAATATTAGTTGATGAACTCCTTTGTATGTTATCATTTAAAAAACACATTTTTGCCGAATTAATTTTTCCAATAAGACTAACCTATCTGTGGAAAAGTCCGCAGAAAAGTTTGTCTTATTCCACAAACAGTTATACAATTCCTTTCTTTAATGTTTCTGTTGCTATTTATTATATTTTACCAAAATCTAATTTTTGGAGAAATGATCTTGATATGCTATTATTAAATGGCATCACGTTAAGCGATTTTCATAGTTAATTTATGCTTAATCACGTTAATATTGTCATTTATGTGTGCTAATTCTAATGATGTATCTAACGATTGAGAAAGGAATGTTTAACTAAGGACCTTTCTATTAATTAGTTTCCACGACTAAATCGTGATAGCTGATTAATAATTTTCGAAAATCAACAAGTTGTATTTTGTTCCTAAGCTCTAATGTGAAACCGATGATTTTAAAAATATTCCAGTTAGTTTAAATCGTGAATGCAAGGTGAGGTAAACATGCACTGCATATCTTAACGCTTTTTATGTTGTTTTAAACAAAATATTCGCCGTTGTAGAAATATCCCTCTGGTTAAGCTTTCTCGTCGAAGGTAAATAAAAAGAGAAATGCCTCCTTTAAAACCTTTTCGTAGGGTAAAATTTCAAGTTTATCCCAGTATAATTCCATACTCATTTAAGAAACAGATAATATACACATATTTTCAATTGAAATAACTGCATAGTTGTTGATAAGGATTGTTCAACCAGTATTTTAGTAATGTGAGGGTATTATTACTAATAAGGGGCAGATAGATTCATTGTAGCCTTTCCGCAGGTAGAAAAAACAAATTTAAAAAAATTGTAAATTTTCATTGAGATGAAATTTTTGAGCCGAGGAGGGGGAGGGGGCGGTTGATATAATTATAAATAGTCATTATTTAATAATCTAAAATTTAATAATAAATAAATGGTAACTTGCAATGATATTAGTTGTTTTAATGCTTAATTACGATGTAACCTAGCTTATGAATATTTTAATCGATTACAGCTTGCCCAAACTTTCAATTCATCTGATTTTTATTTATTAACTGGCAATATTGTTATATTTCATTAATCAAAGTAGGAGGTCTATATAACTTGCTACCAGTTATTTTAAACGCCTCGGTGCTCAAAGATAATTAAAAACAATTAATGCGCTTCTTTGTATCTATGTTCCACCGCTACCTCTATTGGAATATCATGTTCTGTCAATTTGGTATCAAAACTACATATTCACATTTGCTAGCCTTTTCACTCGGGTTTTTTAAACAATAGTTGAGCAATATTTTACAGTATTGTTTCCTTCTGGTTTATATATATATTTTTTCATCTTTATTGAAAAATTAAATTTTTACCATTTAAACGGAATGTGATAGTGCTCCACAAATAAGAAAGGCTGTTCAAAACAAAGCTGTGAATGCTGAGAAATGGTAGTGGTGTAGGCTTAGCACCAAATTCTATAACCTCAAAATCAATTTACTTTCTACCCTCTCGTGTTTATAAGGTGTTTTAACCTGCATTCAGAGCACGACAAAATGTTGGGGAACCCGTCTACCCTAGATGTACATCTTATCGTGTTGGAACAATTACGATTTACTAACCTAACAAGCAAGGCTCGTTTGTGAGCAGGTAAAGGTTAACCATACTCGAGTCTATGTGCTTCATTGAGCGTTTACCTTGCAATCTGATCCTGATAACCCCAAAACCAATGTTTTCATTAAAAGTTTGCGTTGTTTAGAAAATTTTGGTCCAACCAAACGAGAATTTAGCTCAGTTAATGTTTCGCTAAAATTAACATTAGGACTGGAGAAGCTAAAGCTGAGGAGACTAACAGCAAATCGAGGCAAAACTTTCTCCTGTCAGAAATCGATACAAAGGTATTCCTAATTGATTTCACAGGGGGGATATAACAAAAACAGAACAGTTAGAAAGTTGAAAATTACCTCTCAAATCTCAACCGAGCGAATGCAGCCTAAATCTCAGTGAATGGAAGTTCGATACGATTTGCAACTTCTCTTTCCTCATGGAGACATACTTCACGATTAACTACGCATTAAGCTGGTTGACTGTGGCATGTAAAATATCGGAGCGAAATTGAAATTTTTTTTCCTGAGAGAGAAGCATTTTAATTTATCTTTTTTTCTATTACACGCACACAACATCGCATATTCAAATGAATCAAATAGAGCATTCTTTATTTAAAGTCGCTTGATCATTCAGTCGATAAAAGATTCACTTGATAATACTGAAGAATTAATTTTCTTTTTGGATTCTGAATGCAAATCCTTTGAGGGACTTATCGCTTACAGTTTTGCTGCTGTTTTTGTTGTTTTTGCACTTACCATGCATAAAATTGTGAGCCCTAGGTGATCATGTCAAATTTTATCAATTTTTATTTGTCTCTTTATTTTAAAATTATTATTGTAAATTGGCAAATGCAAATAAATTAGTGAAACATAGTTGAGTTACCCGCCTTTCTTAATAGGGAAATGGTTGAATTAAAAACAATCCTTAGTGCTTATGAATTTTACAACCACATCAGAATAGGAGCGTCTTTGATCTATTTTAGGCATCTCGATTGCCGATCAGTATCATTATTGTTGGTATTGGGGCCGCTGACTTTTCTGCAATGGAAGAGCTAGACGGAGATGAGATTCGGCTCACGTCAAGAGGACGAATCGCGGAGAGAGATATTGTTCAGGTTAGTATAAAGTGATCCATAAAAAGTAGATTCTGACCGTTCGGCAACAATTTTTTAGGCAATATTTCATGTGTCTGCTCATTATTTAAGTCAAATACTTTCAATAATAATTTCAAGATCATTCCTTTACCTTTGCACACCTACTTAAATCCTTATCACCTGATGTCTTTAATCAAACTTACTTAAATGAGCCTAATCACCTGTTAAAAATTTGAAATACTGGTGTTGTTTACATTATGGTTATCATAGGTAATTAAATTCCTCAAGTCAAAAGTCTTTGACACATCATTAAAAATAGATGAACCTAGATCAAGTAAAATGATATAAAAATAATCAACTTTGGATCACTGATCGATATAGAAATTTAAAATAATAATGCTCATGATGTTTGGTTAAGAGGTGGGCAGTTATCTCGGCAGAACTACCAAATCCATCCTTTATATGAATTTAATTTCGAATTTGACAATTAAATAATGGAATTAACATGTTAATACCAGCCACTTCCAAATGGCTTTCAACGGAGAGTGGACCCTTTAATTTTTTTTACTTTATTTCGCTTCTTTGGGCACAAATGCCAACTTGCTCACCAACCAAATTAGGGCTCGACGCCGCTAAATTCGTGTGATATGATCGATCGAATAAGATTGAAAAATTTATTTATTTATTTCAAATGGCGTTTTGACAGTTATCATCAGAACTTTAGCTGACTTCAGGCCTCACAGAGAGGAGGAGGAGGAACAACAAATAGACAAAATGTCAAGAGGCGAGGGGAGCAGAAAAATAATTTGCAGATGTGAAAGAGATAGACAGACATAAAGGCAGAGAAAAGGTAAGATGAGTACTGTGAAAGGGGTCGAATGTGACATACAGTATAGTAGTTTGTAGTTAGAAGTTAACCACCGATTGATAGACTTTTTTTGCCGTATGAATATACGTTGCCCAGGGTCCACCACGTGGAGGTAAGTCTATCGCGTACTCCCAGGATTGAAAAATGAGTGTCCTCAATCATTCATTTACTTGCAGTGAATGCAAAAATGAATATCTTTACTGAATGCGGTATATGAGAGTATTTTAAAATGCTTCATTATTTTCCATTGGGTTAGCCATTTGCCAGCATTTGGAGGAAGTATCAATTTTCGAAGAGGAGGGGAGGGGGGGGGGAGCTGGGAGGGTGAAAAGTAGTTGAAGTTTGGTGACGAAAATTCAGTAACTGCTTGCTTCATTTGGCTAGGTCAGGAAATTTTCTATTATTCCAGATATCCCTCAATTAATTCTGTTTTACTTACTAGCATCCTCCTTATTCCATCGGATTTCAATTATTCAAAATGCAAGGAATAATGATGACATTTCACACAATGCATAATTTAATCAAAACCAGCCATTTCAGATAAAGATCGTTTGGGGAAACGTGATAACTAATAGTTAAATTGGCATTATATTTAGATTTTCTACAAGGATTATAGCAATTATTTATTTTATATCAAATGGCAGGTGTTTTTTTATAGTTATCATTAGCCTTTTAGTTGACTTCAGGCTTCCCTGAGGGGAAGGGACATCAAAGTTAAAAAAGTCGGGAGAGGGGGGGAGAAACTGAAGTGTGTTTCAAAGATGTCAAAGAGACAGACACAAAGGTAGAAAAAAGGTGAGGTGAGTACTGTGGAAGTATTCGAATATGACATACGGTTGGATGATGGTAGTTTGAAGTGAGAAGTCAACTGCTGGTTAATAGAAGTAAGTCGATCGCACACTTCTGGAAAAACCAATCCTAAAGTCGCGAAAGAAACTTTATTTTAGTCAAAGCACGTTCGC